AATAAGAGCATTAGATCTCACGATGAACTCGTTAGTTCATAAAAAGAGTCCTGGAGCTCACGACGAACTCCTTAGTTCGTAATAAGAGCCCTGGAGCTCACGACAAACTTATTAGTTCGTAATAAGAGCCTTGGAGCTCACAACGAACTCCTTAGTCCGTAATAAACCCTTAGAGCTCATGATGAACTCTTAAGTTCATGAAAACGAGTTCAATAGCTCACGATGAACTATTAAGTTCACAAAAACAAGCTCAGCAGCTCACAATGAACTCCTAAGTTCATGAAAACGAGCTCAAAAGCTCACGATAAACCCTTAAGTTCATAAAAAATGAGTTCAATAACTCATGATGAACTCTTAAGTTCATGAAAACAAGCTCAATAGCTCACAATGAACGCCTAAGTTCATGAGAACGAGCTCAAAAGCTCACAATAAGCTCCTAAGTTCATAGGAATGAGTTCAAAAACTCACGATGAACCTTTAAGTTCATAAAAACGAGCTCAGTAGCTCTCGATAAACTCCTAAGTTCATCACAATGAGCTCGGCCACCTATGGTGGGGAGTTTAAGAAGAAAAACTCTTTCAGAAGAAGATGCAGAACCATGAGGTCTACAAGTCCAACATCTTGAAAAATTCAGACAGTTCCCAAGTTCAAAATTGAACTCGGCAGCCTTATTCCCACTAAAAAAAAAGCTGTGTCAGACACCCCCGAGCCTTCAAGAATAAGATCGTTTTAAGCTCCATGCCTCTCAGTTCACCACAACCTAAGCTCGGCTACATAAACCTACAGAATAGTCAAAGCTAGCATGAAACGCGGGGAGTAGCTGGTGATGAGATTTACCACTTACTCTCATCCAATAAGCTCAAGTATGAAACTCCCAAAGCATTCTTGTTTCAGGAAGAGCTCAGCACTCCTTAAAGCAAGGGAGACAAGGGAAGACTAAAATAAAAATGCACAGCTAGAGCACATTTGAAGGCGCTGATTGGGAAGTCATTACTGTTACATCTTAAGTTCAGCCCTTGCCCAAGCCAGCTCGGCCAAGAACTGGGGGGCAACTGATGATACTCAGAATGATTCCCGAGCAGGAGCTTGAGAACGGAGGTCAAACATGAAGGTCAAGTATGCAGAGCTCATAAAGTCAAAGCTATGCAGAGCTCAGAAAGTCAGAGCTATGCAGAGCTCAGAAAACCAGAGTTAGAGCTCCCCTCAAGCGAGATAATAAGTTGAAACAATAAGGAAGCAATTGAATACTATAAAGAACTCTACAAGCGGTTTGAAGTAACATTCAAGACACAAAATTCTCAACCAACCAAGATACTCTCCTAAGATCAAAGAGAATTTTTCGGATAGATGGCGAGGAACACAAATCAGATCTCATAGATTAAGGGTCACCCCTATAAATACCATGTAACGCCCCCATCAGAAAGGGGGACCGAATGACCAAAAATTTATTCTGTAAACATTTGGTATGATCAATAAAGAAAAAGGAGTCATAGCCTCCATTGAAGAGTGGATTAGCCGAGCTCCCTAGTCGATGAACCACTATATTTCCTCTGTGTTAATCCTTCAATTCTCGGAGAACCTTAAGCACCATTCTCTGGAGCCAAGTGGCTCAGACATTAATAATCAGAATATTTTTTATCCCATTGACTCATTACCACAAAATTGTTTTGCCATTGATTTAAACCATCAAATCCCAAATTTTTAGTTACAGTGCAACAACGGATGTTTGATTTTAAAATTCAAAACCCAATTTTGAAATATAAGATTGTACGCTGATTTCCATCTTTGACTTTACTCTTCGTGTTTATTGTTTTTACGAAACCGATTGGTTTTCAAACCAACCTTAAACTTTTTTTTTAAAATTGAAAGACCTGTTGGTCTTTTTCCATAAATATATACTTAGGAACAACTAAATTTTTTTAATATATTTTATCTCAAATAAGTTTCAATTTTTGTACCAACTTCTATTTTTTCTAATATTTATATTTCCTGTTTGTTGCTTCTGTAGCCATACCATTGGTTTGTCGGGTGGAAACGTGTCAGGATAGGCTAAACCATGAATGGTTGCCCATTTCCCAAAGGCCATAATGAGATTCAGAATAAACATTGACGATTCATCACTTTTATTTAGTGCCATTATTTTAAAAAATAGTTAGATAAATAAAATACATTATATTTTTTTACATGAGATATTTATTATATTAAATGAATGTTTATTATTTATGATCCATTTTTATTAAATTATGACACTACGTGACGAGTGACAGTAACAATCGTGGCATGCTTTTGTATTTAAATTTAAATAAAAAAGGAGCATATCATCATCGGTAAGGACTGGCCAATAATACTTGAAACCCTAGACAAATTTTTTAAATGGAGCTCCAAAATTATTTAGATGAATAATTTATTTTTTAAATATTTAAATTTATATCTTTTAGCATGTATATTTAAGGTGAAAAACAACTTACAAAACAAACACATTTTATTTAAATTAAAACTAATTTAACTCAAAGTATAATTCAAGAAAATATAAATGTATAAATAGGTCAGAGTTATTATAAATTCAAATAAAATAAAAGCGTAAAATCTTGTAATTTTTTGTTAAAAAATATAATCTGATCTTTTTTTTTAATTAAGATTTAAAGAACAATATTTTGATCATTTTACGAAACTATCTTATTTTTTAAAAAAAATTAATATAATTTTATGAAATATACACAAACAGGGCCCAAAGCAAGTGGGACCCTAACCGACAGCCTCACTTGATAGGGCCGGTATTGTCATCACTCATATCAGCCTAAAAGTAGTATGGCTGTGGGGTAGGGGAAAATAATTGGAAAATAATCCCTCTGGGGACGGTGGCAACAATCATTCTCATAAAATATACTTCTCTACACTGATTATTATTAAAAAAAAAATCGGGATGGAAGCACATACTAAAGGACAGAGGATAAGGATTTGTTTGGATGATTTTTGGGGAGGGGTTTGAATTGATTTTTTAAAATTTTTTTAAATTCAAACTCTTCTTTATAAAAATATGATTTAACATTCAATTCGGTTCATATTCATGTTTGGTATATAACATATATACAAGTAAGATTTATAGATATATCATAATTATTAACAACTATCTGTTTTGGAAATGATTATTTTACATTTGATCAATTCAATTCATACTCATGTTATCTTTTGGATCCTTAATCTCTTACCCATCTTCTCAAACTCACATCTTACTACCTTTTGATCTGTAATTCTTTCATAAAAGGGCGCAAATCGCCTTAAGAAAGAGCGACCTAATCTGCGCCTCACCCTTTCGTTTACTTTATTTACGTCCAATTTTTTCCAACATATCAATTACATCAAAGATGTAAAAATAATTTTTATTAATTTTTTTTTGATATTTACATCCTTATATTCTTCTACTTGTGATTGAGCTTAAAAGGATCAAGCCAATTGATATGGAAAAAAACAAATAAAATAAAATGAACATTATTTTATTTTTGGGACAGGGTTATTCTCACGTCACAAATCTCCATTCCTATCTCATTTAATTTTTTATTATCACATTACTAAGTTCATCTGTTCTATACACACTCTATTAGTAACTAAGCACATTCATGCTACATACACTCTATTTTGTTTCAAGGTAAATGTTATTGGATTTAAAATGTAGGCTTGATCAATCACTGTTGTTGAATAAGTAGTAGATCTTAATAAATGTTAGAATCCATAATAAAATCAATGATAACAATTGATCAAGTTTATATTTTAAGCCTACATTTTAAGTTGGAAGAATTACACTACAATCTCTGAAATTTGTCACTTAATCACTTAGACCTCCTGACACTTGAAGTATTACACTCAAACTCCTTAAAGTTTGTACGTGCATAACACTTATACCTCTATTGTAAATATATCCATTAATAAATTACATTCAAACTCCCTGAAATTTGTAAACGCATATTATTTAGATCTTTTAAGTTTAAAATGTTATATTTAGATAAAAAAATACTTCAATTAAATATAGAATATTAAATATTTTAAATTTACAATTAAAATTTATGTTATATTGTATCATTTTTTAAAATAAAATAAAATTTCAAAATTCAAAATTTTCTTAAAAAATTATAATTAATATATAATTATATTGTCTATTGGAATTTAATTTGGTCATTAAAATGACTAAAATAAAATACCAAACTATTTTAATTGATACTAAAAGATATTGTGTTCATTACAATTTGATCAATTATTTAATTTTTTAGTTTTATTCTAATATATATTATAATTGTATACTAACTATGTTTTTTTTTAAAAAAATAAAATTTTATTTTTGATTTTATTTAAATAAATGACATAATAGAACATGAATTTTGATTGTAAAATTCATGCTCTATTAAGAATGACTTAGACCCCTTATTTGNTAAAAATAAAATTTTATTTTTTATTTTATTTAAATAAATGACATAATAGAACATGAATTTTGATTGTAAAATTCATGCTCTATTAAGAATGACTTAGACCCCTTATTTGATTTTTTAGTTTTATTCCAATAGATAGTATAATTATATACTAATTACAATTTTTTAAGAAAAAGTTAAATTTTTATTTTTGGATTTTATTTCAATAAATGATACAATAAAACATAAATTTTGGGTATAAAATTTAAAATATTTGATATTCTATTTTTNGAATTTTGAGTATAAAATTTAAAATATTTGATATTCTATTTTTGATTGTAGTATTTTTGTCTAAGTATAATATTTTAAATTTAAGAAATCTAAGTATTATATGCGTAAAAACTTCAAGGGATCTAGGTGTAATTTATTAACGGATATATTTATAATAGGGGGCTAAATGTTACGTACATGTAAACTTTAGAGAATTTGAGTGATTAAGTAACAAACTTCAGGGATGTAGGTGTAATTCTCCCTTTTAAGGTAGCATTGCTCTAGTTTGAAATCTAAAACATGTGGCATAGGTTGAAGATTAAAGCCTATAAAAGAAAGGCTAAGGTCCAGGTTACGCACCACTGCTTTGTGATAAACTTCTATATTCAAGCACATTGTCATAAGATGGGAATGCTGTCACTACTACTACTGTTTCTTGCATTCATTGTTGCAATCTCCGGTGGATCAGAAGTCGGAGATCTTCGCAAAATTCACTCTCTCCGGCCACAGTTCGGTGCAGCCGGAACTCCTGTTCCTGGCTTATCTTGCCTGAGTTGGCGACTCGGCGTCGAAGCTCACAATATCATTGAATGGAGAACGATACCACAGGTCTGCGAAGATTACTTGGGGCATTACATGATCGGTCACCAATACAAGAAAGATTCAGAAGCTGTTGCAAAAGAAGCTTTTGTCTATGCACAGAGCCTCAAACTGGCTAAAGATGGCAAGGATATATGGGTTTTTGACATTGATGAGACTGCACTCTCTAATCTGCCTTACTATGCAGATCATGGATTTGGGTACGTATAAACAATATGATACTTCTCTCTCTCTCTCTCTCTCTCTCTCTCTTTCAGTAGACAAAATGGTACTTCATAAATAGATTTTTTCAACAAAAGCTTTACTATAGAGGGGTTTTGATAATGGGGTTTTTTATAATCAAGAACTACCACAACCAAGAGTTCTATAGAGTCAGTGACCAGGGGTAAGCTTCAAATGCACGTAATCATTTATATAAATCATGAATAAGACGATCTCTTTCGAGTTTTGATTTATTGATAGTAGTTGTAAAATGAAAGGAAGCAAATGATCTACAAATCTACATCATTATATACACACAAGAGTTGTTAGTATTAGTATAAAATTACCTTTACATTGTTTTTCTAAACAATGTATATCTATGCGTTTTAGGATGGAGTTTCTAAGATCTTATAAACTTTAGGTTTAAGAATGTAGATTAGGGGTACTTATAGTTAGAACCAATCTTATTATTATTTTTCTTTTTATTTTGGGTTTTTTTAAGAGGGGTGGGGGTCCCCAGGACTCCAGGAGTAAATATCTTGCCTGCCCTTAACACATGAGGACACTTGAAAGGTTTCCAACATCGCCAGTTGACAAGACCAATGGCCAGTATTATGGAGTGACCTTCGCCTTCATCACAAGAATTAGAATCTTTTCTGACAAATATTTTGTGATAGTAGTGTCCCCCCGTTACCCGAAAAAAAAAATATTTTAAAGATTTTTTTTACGATAATCCTGTTATAAAAAATTTATTTTTGGCCACAATATAAAACGGGTCGTTATTGTCATAAAATTTTTTTGAGACTCACTTATTACGACGAACAATACTGCCACAACGTTTTGTCATAACAAGTGAAGTCTTAAAAATTCTTTCTTTGTGACGGCAACGGCCTCTATGCAAATAAACATTTTTTTAATAGCACTACCTTCACAAAAAAACTCTTTTTTCTTCGAAATATATTTTTTTGTGACGGTAAATACGATTGTTACAAAAATATTATCTGAAAAAACCTTAATTCTTGTAATACATAAAGAAACATTATACAACAAATAGATGCTATTTGAGGCTGGCCTGTTGGAGTGTACAGAATATGCATTTCAGAAAATGTGGGAGCAAAGCTGATTCAAACAACCACTCTATGGGATCTGCCATGAACCATGGTCTTGAGGAATGGCCGAACTATATCATATTTTCTTAAAATTGAGATATTTCATCTCCGTCATGTATTTTTTTTGAATTTATGATTATAACGTAAATTCTGAACGCACATAATCAACAATAATTGAATCACTAAGAAATCTCTTGCAAGATTCAAAATTTAAAATCCCGAGACAACAATCTATAATGTTTTTCTAATCAGATCATACTTGGGGGTTATTTTTATTACATTATTGTAATAACCAACCAAATCTCGAGATAATAATCTCTAAAGTTTTTTTTAACCAAATCATACTCGGGGGATGTTTTTATTACATTATTGTAATAGCCAACCATGGAAGATTCATGATACCTTTTTGCAAGCAATTTAATTGCAAAGAATTGGTGTTTAATGACTCGTGCTAGTCCATGTGTCTCTTTCCATTAGTTGATTAAGAAGATAGTGTGTCACTAATGGCAATTAAGTAATACATGTGTATATAATAAGCTTGTGCATTTATATTCTTTTTTTCTCTTTCTTTACAAGTTGACTAAACAGAGTGATTGTCAAATCACATACATTTTGTGTGGGTTTGGTAGATACAAGCAGTGGCCCACTAAAATTGAAGAAAAGTGTTCGTTCTCATTTTTGGCCGACATTTGAATTTCCTACTTTGCCCTTTATTTTTTCATAAGTAAAAATTAATTTGCTACTGGTCTAGAGTCATCTATAATATAAAATAGAGTAGGTTTAAATAAATTCATATAACGGTCTTAAATTGATTCATTCAATAACCACTAACATCCTTCTGAAAAATATTTACATTGCACTGTGTCTTTTGACACGGGTTACTCGTAGTAACATGTCAAAAAAAGGACTTGATTGAGTTATCAAATAAATAAATTTGGTATCGTATCTTTAAAATTTATTACTTTTTTGGATATTTTTATAATATTTTTTTATAATTTTTTTGGGTATTTTTATCATTTTTATTGATGTTTTTATCATTGTTATAATAACTATTTTTATAACTTTTTTTTGTACAAAGAAAATATCATTTTTGTGAGTGATTTGTAATTTTTATTGGTGTTTTTACTATTTTTATAAATATTTTTATTATTTTTTTGATATTATAATAATGATAAAAATAAACGCAACGATAATAAAATACTCACAAAAATAATAAATAAAAACCGAATTTTAATTCCGATACTATAGACGACAAATCCAATCAAAAAAGGGGAATAGACAAGAAGATCTAAATTGATCTTCATATGTCAAATCAGTTCCCCACTTGTTCTCTTTTTTGGTAAATAGTTCTCTACTGTATAAGTCTTGATTCATGTCAGTTGAATTCGATTTTGGGTTGTTCAAATTTCAGGAATTAATCCAATTTGATCAAATTTTCGAACTTCATTTGCAAAAGGGTAAAGTCCAAACATGTGGAATATATTCCCAAATTCTATATAAACATTCCTTATTCTAAAATGATTTTGTACCATGTATATCTCTCTCTCTCTCTCTCTTTATTCTACACTTTGATTTGATGCTTAATCATATAAACTTAAAAAATAATTGTAAACAATTTGATTATTTTAAGTCCACTTCATTTTCACAAACTCTTTTTATTGAAGTCTTGAAAATAGGACTGATAATTGAGTTGAGTTATTCAAACTCGATTTAGATAAAATTTGAGTGGACTTAAATAATTTTTTAGATTTATTTAAAAAAATATATATAAAAGACTCTACTCGTTTTTATATGTAAAATAGTCGAATTATTTGAGTTTGACTTATATTCGACTCATTTTTTAAATAAGTCAAATTTATATAATTTTTTAAATTTAAAAAAATAAATAAACTCGACAAAATCGACTCGATTATCGCTCCTACTCAAAAATTAGTGTTTTTCATTTATGGAGCTGCTGTNGGTGGTGGTGGTGGTAGGGGTGGGGGTGGTGGTGTTCTTGAATAAATATTTGCATTGCAGACGTGCTAATGGTATTATAATAAAAGATTGTCTTAACCACGTATCTTTTAGACTTGTGACTATGAAATAAAGTTATATGTGTAATTTCTACAAACCATCATTTTTGTCCTTCACAATTAAAAATTGTAAAATATGTTAATAATACCGTTAAAAAAGAACTAAATTTACTTTATGGAAGAATTTTATTTTATACCTTGCGAAATTTAAGATTTTTTATTTTGCACTCTTAAAAATTAAAATTTTGACATTGTACCCTCAATGTATTAAAAATATTACAATATGATCCTTCTATTAACTTTTGTTGGTTATTCTGTCAAAATTCATCACATTGATATTGATGGAATGAGTAACAAAAATTAATAGAAGGATCACGTTATGATACTTTTAATCTTTAAAGATATAAAATAAAAAATTTTAAATCCTCCAGGGAGCAAAATGCAATTTGCCCCGGAATCCAATGGGAAACTTGAGCTGGTAAGGCCCAGTTTGTCATCTCAGACATTCTTATATTTTGATTGGACCTTACCGAGCCTTAAGCCCAACCCGGACACCCTAAACTTTGCAAGGGCATTTTCGGTAATCAGGCCCAACTTTGGCAAGCTACAAAACCCTAATCTTATTGTTTTGGAGTCCCCTATAAATACACACTGATCCTCCTCTTCCAATACCATGTCACAATCTTCTGAACTTCCTGTAACAGGAGGCCGACGTCTCTCTCTCTCTCTCTCTCTCTCTCTCTCTCTCTCTCTCTCTCTCTCTCTCTCTCTCTCTCTCATTCGCTTGTGATATGATAACAAAAGCAGGGATTGTGTGTATCGGCGAAGTGCGATCAATGTGCACTCTATCCGAAAGAGTTCCCTGCGAAATTCGATTCGGGGAAGATGGGCAGTTGTGTTTCAATTTTATCCGTTGAAAATTCAACAATCATCTTCCCCACATTCTTTTTCTCTCTATTTATTAGTTCATATACTTTTTTTAAATAAGCTGAGATCCAGATGGCTCACAAACCTATAGAGATTTCAGAAACCCTTTTAACTGGATAGCATCCATGGTTCTTAGTCTTTGCGTGGATCGGTTTTTTTATATGAATCTGAATTCAGTTATTGAGCAGTAGATTAATGGTTTTTTTGAACGATTCTAAGGTAGTATTTGATTATAAATTGATTGGAAATTCTTCGAAATTTGATGAATTCACGAGTATCACACTACACTAGGGTTGAAATAGGTAGATACTATGTGCCCTTATTAGGAATGTGAAAATGGGTTCCACTTTACCATGCTCTGGTTTGGAGTAAATTTTCATTCCAACACTGATACAGGTGGTTTGGTTGCATGGTTGCAGTATTAAAGAGTATTAAAAAATTATAATGAATTATTGAGTCAATTTTAATACCATTTGAAGAGGTGGTATTATAGTATAGTAAAATTTTATTAAATTATATATTACTTTTTTATTCTCCAACTAAACAATAGTATGCATAATAGATTAAATTGATTATTTTTTGGTTAATATGTAATTATTATTCTATTTTTTCACTCTTATTTAGCCTCTTATTAAATATTGAATTACAATGAGTATTATTTTTATCTCGTATTTAATTTTATGTTTTATTTACTTGTATATAATTAATTTATATTAACTAATACAACTCTTTTTTTATTATTATATGTCAATAAAATGAGCCTTGTCATGTCAGTTTTGCCATACTGAGGTAGTAGGTCCATGACTATATGTAGACAATGAAGGAAATAAATCACACACTAATTTATAGTTATTTTTTCATGTAAATTAATCATTATTGAAGGAACACTTTCGAGAAGAGTTGGTTGACTAACATGTGTTTGCAGTGTCGAGGGTACACTTTGGTTCTAACGAGAACACGTGTTCTCGGCATCGAGAGCACAACTTTTGC